TCCACATCAGTGGAGCAAAGGAACTAAATGCTGCTTCTGCATGTTTCTGGATGTACTCAGTGATCTTCTGACTGGAAAAAAATAAGATTTTCCCTAAAAACCAGATTCAGGCTTAGAATGAGTCCAGCAGCTCCTGAAGCAGTGATCAGATAGTCGTCAATACTTTATAACCGGTTTCTCCGCTGCTGCTTTAACCTTCAGTCACCAAACAGTGCGGCTCGACCGATACCTGATAGGACGACACCTCCAGAAACCTGAGCCCAGTTCCACTTTCTATTGGCTTCAGGTTCCAGGAGGAGGAATCGATCATGAAGCTTCTCCTGTTTGGGGGTTTATCAGATACCAGCAGCTCATCCGGATCAATAAGTTTGTCTATTGATCCAAACCTTCTCTGAGGATGTTTCACTAAATACCAAATATTTTTTTCCATGTTTATCATCTTCATGTGCGGTCCTTGTTTCAGAGTCAGGTTTCAACTTGTTGGTTGAACGAGGCTGAATTATTGATAAAGGAGAGTCCCTCTCTCTCTGTTGCTCTGAGAGGAAAGAAACAAGGACAGAACAGAAGAGAAGGAGACGGACCAAAGGATAGAATAAAAGGCTGACAGAGAAATACAGAAAAAGAGATAAAGAGAAGAAAGAAATCAGTTAGAGAAAAGTTGAGGGACCGAAACAAGAACAAGAGTTGAAGAAATAAAGAGCAAAGAAAGGAGAAGATCAAAGAAAAAGGAGGAAAACAAGATGTGAAGAAGAAGAAGAACAAACTCAGGTGAGTTTCTGTTCAACCAATTAGAAAGCAGCGCAGAAAATGTCATTTGATTAGATGCATCTGATAGTTGATCAAAGTTTAGGGGGAAAAAAAAGAAGATTGTGGGATTTGAGAAGATTTAATTCTTAACTGGAGGAGCCCGTTTTTTTTTTTCCAAGTTTAATCCCAGCATGTTCTCATCCTTACTAAAGTCCATGCGAGTCTCTTCCCACTTAGTCTCCAGTTCAGTCCAAGTTGTTTCCAGCCTGTTTTGCAGTTTGTTCCCTGTTTGTTTTTAGTCTGATCCCAGTTTTTTTTCCAGTTTGCTCCCTGTTTGTTCCCAGTCTGTTTCCAGTCTGACCCTAGTCCATCCCAAACAGTTGGCAGTTTATTCCCAGTCTGTTGTAAATTTGTTTCTTGTTCAATCCCAGTTTCTTTCCAGTCTATTCCCGGTTAGTTCCTCATCTAATCCCAGCACATTCCCATCGTGTCCCTAGTCTGTTCCAATTTAGTTTCCAGTTCAGTCTGAGTTGTTTCCAGTTTGATTACAGTTGGTTCCCAGTCGGTTTCTGGTCTAATTCCAGTTTTTTCAAAGTCTGTTTCTATTTTGTTATCAGTCTGACCGAAGTCTGTCCCCGTACGTCCCTGTATGTTCCCATTCTGGTCTGTTTTCAGTCTGTTTTGCAGCATGTTTACAGTCTGTTCCCAGTATGTTTTCGTATCCTGAAATAAGACCATAACCACTTTGTGTTTTGCAAACCAGGAAGATGCCCCATGACAAGAGAGAGGAAGACGAGGAAGAGGAGGATGACACCTGTCAGCCCCACCTTCCTACTTCCTCTGTTGCTATGGAGACAACGCTGTCAGGTCGGAGGCAGGACCTGGTGTGTATCGTGTGTTTCGGCAGCTACGACCTGCTGACGAGGTTGCCGCGGCGACTCCACTGTGGCCACGCCTTCTGCCAGGCCTGCCTGAAGAGACTGGACACGGTGATCAATGAGCAGGTGAGGTCCAGTCCTTCATCCAAGTAGAACCTACAGAACCGGGTCTTTCTCTGCAGTTTTTCCTGTAATCTCCTCATTAATGTTCTGCTGACTGCTTCATTAGAAAAACACCAACAGGACAGATGGACTGAAAAAGGTCAGGGAGAAAATCTCCTCCTCATACAGGATGTGACATCAGCAGCCAAGTGTTGATTAAACCTGATGACCCTCCTCTTCCTCACAGGATGAAGTGGCGGATCCATTGAACTTATGATGCTGAACCCAACAGCTCTCCACCTCTTCCCCCTCAGGTGTGGATCCCGTGTCCTCAGTGTCGGCAGAACACACCCAGGCCTAGAGGAGGCGCGGCGGGTCTGGACCTGGACTTGGCCTCCTTCTTGGCTGTGAAGGCCCAGCAGACCTACGTCTCCTGCTCCTCGTCCTCCTGGAGTTCTGTTCGGACGGACGGGACACCGGCTGGAGACGCAATCAGCAACAACAAGCCTTGGCTGGGCAAAGAAGTTTCAGATGACGGATGGCTGCACGGTGGGTTGGCTGAGCCTCGCTTCCATCGCTATGGCAACTGCTGCCCCACCCCATCCTGTTGGCTGTGCTGCTGGTTCTGCTGCCCAGGACGGGGCTAATAGACTAACCAAACTGAAACAGGAAGTCCTGAAAGACCAGTTGGAGGTTTTTGGGTATAAAATCTGGTCTGTCTTCTGACCACTGAACACATGGAAAGTTACAGACATCCTCTGAAGGGACAGGAACCTGGATTCATCTCCATCCAGCTGGTATCAGATCATGCATATCAGTGCCAGGTCAGGTCTAGATGTATATAAAGAAAACTATTTCAAAATACTTCAGCAATCCTAAAAGTAAATGAAACAAAATCTTTTTGTTTGATAAATCAAACAAAGTTGGTGAAGTGAAATGAAGGAAACATAAAAACAACTCATACTTGTCATATTGCACCTATCTGGGGCCGCAGCCTCTGCAGAGACCCACAGATTTCCCTCTTCCCATCCCACCTCCTCCTCTACTCTTCTGGAGGAAGCTCAAGGAGTTCCAGGGCAACCGAGAGATGTATGAATGGGGCAAATTGGTAAGGAGACTTGAGCCAAGGTGGAAGTCTGCACAATACAACCACTGTCCGAATAGGACCTGCAGTAAGGAAGGAGGTAAAGGAAGCAAGATGATTCCTACCATAGTTGTTTTGGCATATGGACCAAGGAGCGCTGGAAGTCATTCTGAACAAGGGCTGCTGTGAAAATCTTTTTTGTTTTTTGATTTTTTTGGACAAAAGACCTATGAGCCTATAGGCCTATTTAAAATACAACAGATAAAAATAAATAAATAGAGATTCACTACTTCATTGTCATATATACTTCAGTGCACGCATCCAGGGTCTGTAACACAGACATCAGCTGACTATGTCTTATTGCTTAAACTTCACAATAAACTATTTTTCAGTGGCTTTACACCGATTTGAAAAGCTGGCATTCACAAAAGGGTTTGTCTTTCTTAAATGTGTCTTTTGGTATGACTCGCTTTTGGACAAAAAAAGCATAAAATATGATCAGTCTCTTCCAGATATTGCAGCCACTGCCATCTAGCAAACCGAGTCGGTTCTACAGAATGTGAGAAAGTTTCATTACCACAACGCCATGCAGGAAATTTGAAACTGGATGTTGACCATAAGGGTTTGTCTAATCCAACCATGCTAGGTTGGGTTGCGGGCGCGGAAAGTCTCCTCACTCCGGTGCTCTCCGTTGTCATGGTTGCAGTACCAGCGGTTTTCCTCTTTGGTGGTGGTTTTCCCAAAAAAATCCGAAAAAATTTCTTTCATTTGACTTTGGAAATTAACAGTCTGCTGCCGTGAGCAGGATACCCTGGCGACCACAAACTTGCTTCACGTTGCCATGAAAACGGAACTTACGTGAAATTGTGTCGATTAGGCCATAAAATAATGAAATTAAAATCCACTTAAAGTCATAGGGAAGTGGCCATTCCAACCGTTGAATTTCCGAATTCTCCCTAGTGGTGCCCGACTTTACAGGAGTGAATACAGTGAATGTGATTGGTCCATTATCAAGGGGGCGGGATTGTAGTGGCGGAAGGTTTGCAAGCAAGTTTGGTTGTGGCCGGTTTGTTGGAAGCATCTTGCTAACCAGTTAGCATCTTATTGCTAGCAGGTTCCCAATGGGAAATTCCATTGGGACCAAGTAGCACTAAATTGGTGACTTAGAAACGACGCTGTCAAGGAACGCTATGGACAGCGGAAACATGCAGGAGGAGGAGAGTTTAGTGTCGGAGGTCGTGGATGAGTCTCCTCCGTCATCCATTTTTTATTTAGAGGAGGAAAGCGGGAATCTTCAATACTTCCATTAGTAAAAGAAACTTGGCTATGTAGCCCCTTAAAGGCTGTGGTGTCACCAATTACCTTAAAAAGTCGCTGGATAAGAAAAAGTTGATACACACATGTGCAACATTAGTTTCACATGATTTGTCGGTATGAACCGACATTTTCAAGTAACCCACCATGTAGACCTAAGCCATTTCTCAATTCACAAGAATGCAAGTATGGACTCGCCACGTATGTTCCTGAGAAGAACACAGGAAAGTGTGGAGAACGGGAGCACGCAACATAAATCTGGGTCAATTAGAACTGATGCGTACTGATGACATCACCACACACTCCCCTCCTCTGGAGCTGCATTTCACCTCCTGTTATTAACAGTCTCTAGATAATAATAAATTCTTACTTTTTTTCATTTATTGGGGGAATAATAATGAACACAGTCAGATAAACACAAATCAAAAGACAGCAGTACTTCACACCCGGCTATGCAGAGAGAGGTCTGTCTGCAGCAGATTATATATATAAATACATATAATATATATACGTACATAGCATGCATTATCAGACGTGTAAGGTGTAATTACCATAACAATGTAATAAATATATGTATATTACATGTACATCATCAATTTAGCACTTTTGGCAGATCTGTATTATTGTGCTCCAATAACACATTCATTTTATTGTCATTGATTTGTATAATATGCTATATTACATGATTTATAGACATCATTGACTTCACAAAGACTCTGCAATGTGATGGGCCTATTTTTTATTATAAGTTAAAGTAATCTACTAGCTTGGTTGTGGCCATTTTCTCGGAAGCATCTTGCTAACCAGTTAGCAACTTAGTGCTAGCAGGTTCCCAATGGGAAATTCCATTGGGACCAAGTAGCATTTAGCAACGACACTGTCAAGACAACGACACAAAGATGTTGTGAAAGACGAAGTTGAACACAATGGGAAGGAAATTATTCTTATTTCAACCGTTGCGTATATTAGCTGTGACATATGAATCAAGATGCTATGACCGAAAAAATTTGATTGACAGGTGACGGTTGATTTATGATTGGCCGAATTTAGGTGTTCAGGCTGACGTAGAACTAACTGGCCTGCAGAGGATAATGAAAAAAAAAATATCGTAAGACAGGATTTTTTTTAAATAGAAATTTTCTAACTTTTGGACAATATGTTCTGGTAAAGAGAACATTTATATACATGTTTAAGCCAGAATTATTTGACATTTAAATATGATTTCCCACCGACTTTAAGCCCCGTCCTCCACCTGCTGTTACCATGGCAGCCCAGGGCTTTAAAATGATAAACTGACAAACATGCTTAAAGTAGAAATTTATTTTTTACACTTATATACTTTACAAAAATAAAAGTAAACAAAGTCACCAGCTTCCAGCCAATCAGCGGCCATACCACTGATGACCTCACAGTGCTTTCCTCTGATCTGCTTCGAACCGACGACGGCGGCCGAAGATGCCCGAGTTAAAAGAACGTTTGGCCATTATGGCTGTGGGTTAGAGACACATTCCAGTATTCAGAGAGAGAGCGACCTTTGGCACAAAGCATCCTGGGAGTTGGAGTCCATGACATGTCCTTCTGCGATATCCTTCACAATGCTCCGCCCTCCGAGTCTGAAGCCAATTTAAGACCTCCACCTTTCCATCGTTGTTTAGACCACACCTTCCATAAGTGTTCAGCCAATCAGAGGCTGCCGAGGCCCTCCCCCATTCTGATTCGCTGCCCGGGCTGCAGGCTGAAGCTGAAGTCTCTGGGAGCCTCGAACAGGAGAACGATGGTGGACCCCAGGTTAAATTCCCCGACAGGCTCCCCTTTGTGCAAAGACACGCCCCCTTCTTCTGGAGCCGACTTCACCTGGTTGTCTGTAGCGACGTAGCTGCGATCGTGGAACGAACCTTTGTTGTAGCGAGGAGTGTTTGTCTGCAGCTCCTAGGGAAGAAAATTATCTGTTTACTGACAAAAGCAAACAAAGCAGCATGTTTTATCACCTGATCTCTGCTTCCTGTCAGCTTTCATGGCTTTTAAGAAGATCTAGCAGTTCGATACAAACAATAGTAGAAAGCAAACGCACTGCAAAAGGAAATCTTTCTCTAAATAAGTGTATTTTTTGGTGTTCAGCAGGACAGTAAAGTAATGGAGTAAAGAAATAAAACAACTGTAACCCACAAGAAGGGTCACTGCAATTACACCTGATAATAGTAGATGGTAAGTGTGTTAATTCACTTCAATTACTGATACCAACACTACACAAGGATAAAGAAAGTTGGGCCTGATCAAAAGATTTTAAATTCACGGGAGCGGAGGTGTAAGCAACAACAGAGGAGAGCAAACAGTATCTATAAGAAAGGGTAGAATTTAATTTAGTAAACAATTGTGGATCCACATTTACAAATAAACAAAAACTGCACGCTTAAAAAAAAAAAAAAAGAAAGAAAATAACAGAAATAACCCAGTCATTTCAATATATGTGTCAAATATTCAATGTTTTTTAGTCTTTTCTTTGTGTCTGTAAAGCGTTCATTCAATGCCTCCCGGCTAGCGACTGGTCGGGTCACCATCTACCAGTTGACTCAGTCCTCTGGGCTGGGACTCGCCATCTAAGTTCTGAAGAGGAGGATCATGGGGTGTCTGGGCACTACAGACCAAAAGTGGGGGGGAAAAAACCTGGCCGATGCTCTGATGCTACATGAAGCTACTCGGGGAATTTTCCAGATTCAGTCGCTCAAAAGGGAAGCTTTCTATTACCAAGATTCTTCATTAAATTTCATAAAATCTTCCAGGGTATTAGTGGAAACAACCGTCAGCTGTGAGCTTTCAGGCACGTCTGATTCAATCCGAGCAAAATCCCAGAACAGCATTTAAAGGGGCGGGACAAGCAATCTTATTGGCTGATGTGAAACCAGCCTGTGCCAGCTATTGGTTGCTTAATCTATTGCTGAAAGCAATCACTAAAGGCATATTTCAAAGTTTTTAAAGATTTTTAGCACTTTTATCTATATTTATGAACATATTTATTAACTTATTTTTACCTTAATTTTTTTTTTTACTCTTATTTTAGAATAAGACATGAAATCTATACCTTCTAAGTAGAAAAAGCATTGTAGAAGAAGATATTAAATCAAGATCTATACTTTTTTTTTTTTTTACTTGTGGTTTTAAAACTGTTGTTTAAATAGAAATTTTCTAACTTTTGGGACAATAATTTATGATAAAGAGTACATTTATATACACGTTTAAGACAGAATGATTTAACATTTAAATATGATTTCCCTACGACTTTAAGCAGAGCAGTAGAAGGATGCAGCGTGTTTTTGTTTGAATCGACAGACTGTTTTCCTCAGGGACAACTTTGTGAAAGCATCACAGCTTTGGAAGTCACTACTGAATTAACCACTATGTGTTACATAGATACATTACATGCATACATGCTTGTGTATACCTGTACAAATGTGTTTGTGTATAGAGTGGTAAAAAATTCTAAAAATAAACGAGTGGCTTTGCTTTGCAACATGTATACATCCTTTCAGAATATTCTATCACTCTTAACACCAATAATGTTTAAATGCACCGTGAAAATTAGTTCAATATTCAGCGAGTTAAAGTTGATTAGTATTTTTTCTGTGCCTGTGCAACACATTGCAGTGAGTGAAGCCAGCGATCGCCACTAGATGGCGCCACCAAATCACGTCAGCACCCATAAGTGTAAGCGGTTGATGGGGGGTCTACACTTATATGTATGTCTACGGACGAGCACATATATCTGGGAATGTTTTGCAAGAGCTCTCCTCGCAAAGCATCATGGGATTATGTGGCCAAGAGAAAACAAAGATGGATGCTGGCACCGTGAGGGGAGAGGAGTCACATGACCTATGGGTGGGGCAAAAAGTAGTGATCATCTGTCTGAACTAAGTACACCATGAAGTCCGCTATATCGTCTCTGGGCTACATAGTGATGGAGGGGTTAGGGTGGATGTTCTGAGACCGCCGTGGTCTCTCCTCTCAGTGTGAGGCTAAAAGCTGAACCCCCGCCCACATTTCGGCCCCTCAGCCAATCGGATCATGTTTGCCTCCATCTCCTTTCGCTGCAGTAAAACTCAGATGTGTAGAAAGAAATCACTTTCAACATGGCTGCCCCACACAGAGAGCTCAGCAGAAGCTTCTACATCTGAACGGAACTGCTTGGTTCTGGATTTGAAAGCCAATAAGATGATCCTGGATGGTAGAGGCTCCTGAGGGCCAACCGGACTCACCTGGTCAAAGTAGACCCTGATGGAGCCCACGTTGGTGGCTCCCACCGCCGTCAAAGAGAAGAAGCCGTGCTGCCACTGGCCTCTGAGCACCACCCGCTCATTAAGGCAAAACAGCTCTTTGACCCAGCGGGCCACGCCCGGGTTCACCGACATCAGAGCGCCTACAGAGGACAGACAGGAGGACGTGAGCAACCGGCACCGCGATGGAAACCTGCTGGGAAGCGACGCCTCAGCTCACCTGGGAAGTGACGCCTCATCTCCACGGTCCAGTTGGTCGGCGAGTGGAAGCAGTGGTAGTCCCCTGGGGCCAGGTAGACCACCACATGGAACAGGTCGTTGTCAGGAGACGACAGCAGGTCCTCCTGGAACGACGACGAGGACAAGTCTGAAACACAGAACAGCTTCTTTAGCTCCAAGTCACGGCTCGACCCGGCAGCCCAGCCTTACAGCGTTCTGATGGGTCACCTTTGCTTCTGCTGGTCTGTGGACCCAGGAAGTTCTCCAGGCTGTAGGTGATGCCTTTCACCTGCTCCACCTCAGAGTTCTTAACTCGACCAAAATGAAGGATCTTCCCGTCAGCGGGAGACGTCTGGAACCAGAAAAACAACCGGTGACCTGCTGGATCCCGACCAGGGGGAGAAATACTAACCTAGGTTCTGCTGCAGGTAGAGGTAGGCCGATCGACCCTAGGATCGACATTATGGACATTAAGGCTGGTATTGATACTGAACAATATTCGTTTAACAAGATCGACACCCTTTTATTCTCTCACTTATTCACTAACTGCAGCAGATTTACCAATCTCCCCGTCTGTGTCACAGCACTTTGCTGTTCCGCCCTCCCCTCTCGTCACTGGTTGGCCCCGCCCACTTAGCTCTCTCTCTACCAGACACACAAACAGCCCCACTGCTGCTCCTGACGCCGGAGCAAAAAAAGATGAAGAACAGGAAATGAAGCATCGTTTGGCTATATTTTAATGCTGTAAATGAAACAATAGCATGTTGTATAGTTTGTAAGTAGTTGGTTAAATGCAGTGGAAACAAAAAGTTTATATAAGCACGAGAAAAAACATGAGCAAGAAAACGTTAAGCTAATGAGACGGAGAGAGGAGATGAAACTTTGCAAATTGCCCTGACAGACAATTTTCAGACCCCCAGAGAATATCCTGGTAGATAAGAGTGATCACCTTCATTTTAACTTTCAAAGTATATATTAGATGTCATATTTTACTGGAGCCCACTCAGAAAGTGTAATTAAAACCTTGAAAGAACCAGTACATTAATCCCATTAAAACATGTTATCTAAGTTGGCAAATATTAACTAATCCTTTGTTTATTCCACAACGGGGACATTTATAGAATTAAAGCAATAGGCAAGAGCAGACAATAGAAACAAAATCACATTAGGGTATAATATAAGAGGTGGATTAGGAAAAAAAAATATGAACAGAAAATTATTAAGTTTATTATTATTCAATTGTAAGAATAAAATAAAAATCACAAAAAAAAACCCTGAAAGGTCAAAGTTCCATGATATATCCAATTTAAATGTAAAATTTAAATGTATTTACTTGGTATCACATGGATTAAAAATTCCCGGTATCGCCCACCTCTAGCTACAACCATCTTTAACAACCATCAGAACTGTCCCATTCTCTATAGCCCAGTGAAAAGACTAAATTGCAATTGTTTTTTTCTTGTTTTAAATGTTCGTTTGATTGGCAAAGGGTCTAACCTCCTCAATTCAAGAAAATATGCACTTATTTTAAGAAAAAATGACTTGTTTAGATTAATTTTTTTCCAGTGATCTGTGCTTCATTTGCCAGGTTTTTGTCCAACGACTCATTCTGCAGAAATTAGGGCGAATTTATAAATTTTAATAAGCTAAACAAACAGTCGGTTTAGCCGTAGCTCATTTAGCATAAACATATTTTCCTCCTTATCTAAACCAATACGTTTTCCCGCCTTCCTGTCAGCGTTGTAATAAAATGGGCCGACTGACCGCCCTCCTTCAGACTCACTCTGAGCTCCTGCTGACAGGTGAACACACCGGACAGCTATGGAAGCAAATCGTTACCATATTTAAATTAAAAAAGCATTTTCAGAAATGCTTTTTCATTTTCAAATTTTACATTTCAAATTGAATTTTGGTATGTATTTGCTGGGGTACGTTTTGAAAAATAAATCTCAAATGACTTTCTTTTTCATTTTAAGTAATGGGATGAGCAGTATTAAAGAAGAAAATGAAAATGCAAACAGTTTTATTGATTACTAGTTTCATTTATGAGTCAAACAATGCAGCCACATTCTTAAAATGAAAAAGCATTTCTGGAAATGCTTTTTCATTTTAAATATGGTAACGATTCGCTTCCATAGACAGCAACCAGGTTAGGAAGGATTCCCAAACCGCTGGTCTGTCAAGCTAAACCAGTCGATGCCGACGCCCCCACCCATTGGCTGCAGGTGTGTCAAAGCTACATCTCAGTGGGTCGATCTGATACTTTACACATTAAAGCCTCAAAACATGAAGAAAAATGGGAAAGAAACAGGAGTGGGATTAATTAGCAACAGAAAGAAAAAAAAAGTCACTCCGTTATCTCCAGATTTTCTCATCAGTGCTTAATATTTATATCTCATAATATATTGTAAAATTTGTCAAATATCACATCTGGCTGTTAAAGATATACTTAAAATCCCCAAAACCAGAATCAAAGCAATTCCAAACTGGTCTCCCACTCAGACCAGTGACTGGGAGGAACCTTCTGACTGGACTTCCCATCCTGCCTTTGGGTTCAGTCCAGTGGGAGGGGCTTAAGTAGGAGGGGCTTACCAGGCAGGAAGCGGCGCAAACGGGTCGGACTGCAGGTTTGAGACGTCGGCGGAAAAACTCGCCCAGGTTTTTGTAGTGATGTAAATCCTCCACCGCCGCCTCCTGGTGGACGACCAGAGGAATAACATGGTTAGAAACAAACAGCGGGGAAGGGAATCCGGTTCTGGTTCCGGTTCCGGAGTCAATACCTGCATGTTGACCCCAAATGTCCAGATGTACAGCGAGTAGATGGGTTTACGGAGCCAGGTGGGGAGGTCCAACCCGTTCAGGCGGCCCCAGGCCCGAGAGACGAGGCGCGTTGGGAAGGTGCGGTATAGCGCCACCTGCAGGAGGAAACAGAAATTACAGCTTCACATTTTTTTTATTCAGAGGCAACAGACAGGAAGTCAGAACCCGCGGTTCTGATCGCTCTCAGACTGATTGATTTGGGTCAAAGGTTCTGCAGCATAGACAGTCGATCTGTAGGAAACTGATGGAGTCAGTTATTGATCAGATAATCAGCAGCAGGAAGCAAGACGTACAAATAAGGTCACACTTCCTTCTCATCCAATCAGAAGCCCTCTTTACAGCTGCTCTTACCCGATTGGCCAGCGGCCGCAGGGCACTGACAGACAGGATGAAGCCGAGGAAAGAGATCGGCCGGCGGTGCCAGGGGGCGGGCCGACAGACGCCATTACTGAGCGCGCTCAGACGGTGACGAAGAGCCAGGCGAGGCACCCGGAGCCTGGCATGAAGGAGCACATGTATCAGCTGACAGGAAGTCAAACCAAATCAGAAACAGGTGCGAGGTGGGCGGGGCGTCAATGTGCTGCGAGCGGGAGGAGGCGGAGTCAATAACCAGAAGCTGTCTGACACTACGGAGCAGGAAGAGGGCCAAACCTGTGAGCAGGGAGCAGCCAGGCGTTTTTAATAAAGCTCAGACTCTGGGTCCACCGTCCTGCAGGCGTCTCCGTCCCTTCAGAACCGGACGGATTCTGCAGAACCTGCAGGACAGCGGGGCTCAGAGGATCACTGGACTACACACTAAATAACTGGATTAGCAGGCTATCGGAGGATCAGATGCTGTCTCCATGACAACCACACCTGTAATCCGCTCTAATCTGGGCTTCACCTCCATCCTCTCACCTCTCTAATGTCTCTCAGCATCAAACTGGTTTCTGTCTTCAGTCCCAAACATCCATGTCTGACTAAACTGACCTGATTTATTTATTTTTTTCACCCTCGCTGAGATCCTCCTGATTCAGATCAACCTTTGATCTCTGACTGAAGCTGAAAAGAACTGATTACAGGTTCTGTGGATCCCATCCAGATGGGGTCTGACCAGCGGGATGAAGCTAGAAGCCCTACAGCGCCTCTGCTCTCCCACCTGAAACTTCCAGCAGCTCTGGTCCTCACCCCTCCTCCTCCTCCTCCTCCTCCCGCTGCGTTCCGCTGGCTCTCGCCCTGCCGCCGCCTCACCTGCCGCAGGGGGCTGCGGTCCTGCCGGGCCGGGCGGATAAACCTCACCATGAACGAGCGCCACGCGCCGAGGACGGCGCCGGGAGCTGAGTGGGCCGACGACACATGGTTACAGTGAGAGTGGAGAACGGCAGCGGCAGCAGAAGAAGAAGAGGAGGGGGGGGACAGATGGCGAGGTGTTAATGCAGACTGGCCCCGCCCCTCCTTCCACGCACCCAGTCTATAAATAGCAGACAGATCAGAGTCCAGAGGAAGGCGGCTGATGGAAAAATCCGAATCGATGTGCTTGATCGGCCCTCGGACTGCTGAGTCATCAATAAACACGGCCATTAATGATCAGCTGTCCTATCAAAGCATGCCGCTGAGCTGCCCGGTTACTGATTAACCAATCACACCAGGCTATGTGACCACTGACCCATCAGGAGACCTGGAGGCTCTGAGGAGAGCAGACTGGACTGTGTGGCCGGTCCCAGTGACATCAAACTCACCTTTCACCCAGAGAACCAATCAGGGTGAGCCCAGGCACCTGGGTGATGTCACCGACTGGGCCTCACCGTATTGGTCGACTCTAATCTGTTACATAAACAGTTCTGCATGTGCTCAGAAGGCTGCAGAGAGAAGCTTTGATCAGGAGAGAAATAAACCGGCTGCTAATTGGTCCTGAACCAGAACCGCTCATTTCTGGGGTTATTCACCTGCAGGTTCATCAGGTTGTTTCCCGTCAGTCAGTGGGATCCATCTAATCCGTTTAAAGAAATTAATACCAGCCTGTATAAACAAAGCTTGAGGTTGCCATAGCGACGGCCAAGCTGTGAGAACGCACAGATTATTCCATTTCCTTTACCAGACTTTTAAATATTTACAAAAAATAAAACAGAAACTAAGCAGTTTGTGTTCCTGTGTCTTTAAGGTTACTATGGTAACATCATGTGTTTCTGTTGGCATAATTCCTCTTCATCTCATCAGAGCATGACCATAAGGAATAGTTTGGTTTATTTTCACATTTCTGGGGTTAAGATCCGACTTTAGAAACGAGTCAAAATGAACAAAAACAGAAAATTATCAACGATTCGCTGCAGGAATATGGAGAGAAATGTGCTGCATTATTATTGAAAGCAAAGAACACGTTCAAAACATTTGAAAAACTTCTTAATTAAAAAAAAGGTTCAAGATTTAATATTAATGTAAGCAGTTTACAATTTGCCATTTTTTATTTTCTTTTAAACAAGATTTTTTTCCTCTTTTTTTTTTCAACTATTTTCCCCCTAAATTATTTTTTAAAACTGTTTTAAGATTCTATTTTTTTTTTCAAAGACTGTTTTAGGAGTTTGAGATTTTTCCCTAATTCTGGGAGGAAAAATAATATCTGAAAAATGGATCAAAAAAGAATCGGAAAAAACAAAATCTGGAAAATTTTAATCTAGAGAAATAACAAACTTTAAAAATACAAAGACAAATTAAAAATGCAAAGACAAATTAATTATGGAAAAAGTTTAAAAAAAGACTATTTTTGAAAAGCATTCTCTTTAAATTTTCATTTTTAATCTTGTTCCATTTTTTCAATAATATTGGAACAAATCTCTCTCCATACTGAGAGGAAAAAGGAATCGTGTTCAGGAATGAATATTTGACCAAAAGGCGAAGATAAAGGATGCCTTCCTTTGCTGCAGAGCAGAAAACGGTTCAACCTTTAGCAAAAACCTCTTTAGGCCGCACCCCCCCACTTCCACCTGAGACATAAGCTCCTCCCCCTCTATAAATTGGAAGAAAAGGAACACAGAAAACGAAGCAGCAGGGTTTTCCTGTCCTTACCTGTGTGGGTGTGGCTAAATGGGGCCCCGTCTCCTCATCCCGATGGCCCCTCCTCTTGTACTGCTGGTAACCAAGGTAACAGCCTCCTGTAACAACGAGCAGAGGGAACGGCCGGGGGCGCGGCAACATGCGAGAACCTGACGAGACAAAGGAAGTCGATTAGTTGACAGAGCCGACATCATCATCCAGCAACCTGCTGCAGGAGTGCAGGGACTCACCGGTGCTCAGGCTGCGGCGCTGGCTGCAGCTCGCTGATGAGACCCTGAAGAAGAAAAAGATGTTTTAGTCGTTAATCTATGGATGATGACTCATCATTAATCACCTGATCATGACTGACGAACTACTGAGAGGTTCTCAGATGGACCTGAGGGGTTAGAAAGATGCTAAATGTTTATATTCATCCTAATCGGTTCTGATGGCCGAGCACAGCGCCCCCTGCCCTCAGACTCTATAGATCCACATCTTTACTATAAGTCAAGCAGATTTGGACTGAATAAGTGGAGAAAAATGCATACTTCCACTCATAAAACGGAATCTGGTCAGATAAATATATGGGAGAATTATCCTGCCATAATGCAAGAGCACATAATTTCAATTTGAGAAAAGTATTTCATCTTCTTGCACTCAAAACTTTTAATTCTCATACTCAAAACATGCGCTCTCTCTCAAATATTTTCTCTTCTCTCTCAAATCTTTGTTTCTTCTCTCAGATTTAATGCTTCTTGCACAGATATTTTCTCCTCTTCGCGCACAAACGAGTCTCAGATACGCTCGCAAACCCGTAGGCTCTGCTTGCGGATTTTTTTTTGCTCTCACTCAGATTGCAGTTGGATCGTCGCCTAGCAACCTTTGCAGCCAATAGAACGACAGCCTCATACAGGGTGCGATTGTCTAACTCTACTGAGTGTGCCTGTGATAAACCTTACCGACAATAAAATGGCTTTTTAATTTAAAAGCTATTAAAATAAGAAGCTGAAAAACAACAACAATCACGAACATAAAAAAAGGAAATAATAAAGGGCGATTCAAGAATCACCAATAAAAAAGTCACTTAATTTCTGCTGGAGGCAGAATTAGCATCTGCCCTGACTAGCAAACTTTTTTTTTTTTTTTTTCTGACGAGCAACTCTGAGGTGGAAGTTTTCTGTTCACATCACGTCACGTCTGAAAATGGATCGACTGCAAGACTCTAAAGTAAGTAAGTACTGAACTTTGCTGAATGGAGCCACAAAACTACTGTAAATAGCAGTTTCAGCTGATGCTCTTATAAGTGGCGTAGTAGCACAGGCACACTCAGTAGGGTTAAACAAGCGCACCCTTTCCAAGGCTGTCGTTCTATTGGCTGGAAAGGTTGCTAGGCGACGATCCAGCTGCAGTCTGAGAGAGAGCAAAAAAAATCCGCAAGCAGAGCCTACGGGTTTGCGAGCGTATCTGAGACTCGAGCAGAGCGCGGTTTGTGCGCGAAGAGGAGGAGGCAAGCGAGAGGAGAAAATATCTGTGCAAGATAGGGTTGTCACGATACTAAACTTTTCAACTCGATACCGATACTAAGGAAAATATTCGATACTCGATACCATTTTCGATTCCACAAGGATAAAAACAAAGAATCCAAAAGTCTACAGAAATATTTTCATTAATAAATGAAATACAATAAATAAACACAATAAAGGTTGTATGCTGTGCATAATATTAAGCAAGCTTTATAAAAAACTTATAAAATTCAAATTAAGTGTTCCTTCCTTGGCTATGCTTTGCACACATAGCAATGACACTAGCCAAACCAGTTAAGAAACAAAAATAATTCTCAGCAGCTGCACCTCTTACAAAAAAAAAGTCTGAAACTGAAAAGTGCGTAGAATTATTCAATCACACAGTGTTCAGAAAGTGCATTTTCCTCTATTCTGCACTTTAGATGAATGACTGCTTAGGTGCCACTGGTGACGGCACTGTATCGATACTTTTAAAAACGAGTATTGTATCCGGATACAACATTTAAGTATCGATACTTTTTTGAGTTTCGATACTTTTGACAACCCTAGTGCAAGAAGCATTAAATCTGAGAGAAGAAACAAAGATTTGAGAGAGAAGAGAAAATATTTGAGAGAGAGCGCATGTTTTGAGTGTGAGCATTATAAGTTTTGAGTGCAAGAAGATGAAATTCTTTTCTCAAATTGAAATTATGTGCTCTTGCATTATGGCAAGATAATTCTCCCATATAAATATGCTGACTTACATTATTGGAGACCTTCTGCATAAGACAAAGAATTATTCTTCAAATAAGAAATAAATTCAAATGAGAATAAATGAATTATCCTTCAAATAATAACTACAGTTCTTATTTGAAGGAAACACAGTAATGAGGAAATTGTGATGTTGGGGGAATGTGCATGATTATTATTATTATAACCAAGTTTCTGTCCTGGAAATGCAGCCATTGATCTCATCCCTCCCTGTCATTCCACTCAAAGTAAAACCGTTTATCATCCAGACTGTTTGAGACACAAGGAAAACAAACAAGCATGTTGATTCAGCTCATTTCAATTGATAATTTCATTCATTTTTATCGTGTGATTCATTGATTTATTGGGAGTTTCTGCCTCAGTCGTCTCTTTGGCATTTTCTACCCTAAACAACAAGATGGCGGATCCCAGGAAATGACTCTGCAACCACAAATTAAGCTTTAGATCTTCCTTTTGACGCACCTGGGTAAATAGTTGATTCAGAATACAAACTTTTGAAAGTACTTTAAATATGTAATTATTCCATCTTGTTCAATAAATGATCAGTGTTTTTAATTCAGAGTAATTTTCATGTGAATGTGCTTTACTGGAGGCATCCATGTTTGTCAAAGAACACTACTGCCACCTACTGGTT